TATGTGTTTATTTATTTGCTTGAATAAAAAGTTTGTATTTTATTTTATGACGTTATGTTCACAAACATATTGTGTATTAAACTCGTTTCCGCTGTTTTTAATAAACATTTATATGATGTTTTTATAAGAAATTAGTATATTTCCTCTTAACTCTCTAATTTGGAATAGTCCACGAGACTGTTCAAGTTAGAGTGTTACATTTTGGTATCAGAGCAAAAGTTTTTAAAATGATCTTCTGACCTGATATTTTAATAAATATAACTATATTAAAAAAAATCATATTTACATTTTTTTTATGTGTATATATTAGCACTCTCAAAAAAAAACTACTTTAGTTACAAACAATTTTGAATGGTATATTTACATGCACATAAGTATGCATGTTTTCAAAAAAAAAAAGTTGGAGCAGATTTTAGAGTAAAATCATTTCTATGATTCGTAAAAAAAAAATTCAAATGTATTTTACTCTTTTATTTAATTTAAAAAAATAGCATTTTAAAGCCTTGTTTTTTTTTGGAATATTGTTTCTTTAAAAAAAAATATTTGTTTAACACCTTATTTTGATGGATGGCTTTTTAAAACATTGTGTTCAAAAGTCTTAAAACAGTCTTTTAACTTGCTATTTTGATACATAGGAGTATTAAAAAAAATCAAACTTGCCAAAGTTTTATTTGTTTTATACACCTATGCATATTAGTGTTTTTACTTCAAAAAAAAATACAAATATGTATTTTTCTTTTTACTTGCAGTAAAAAAAAATTACAAATTATTTTTTCTTTTCCGTAACAACTTGATTCTATAAAAAAAAAGTAGAGTAAATTTTATTTCTACTTATTATTTGAAAGAAAATGGATGACAAATATGTTTTCCTTTTTGTTTTAACTTACAAAAAGTTAAAAAAAAGAGAGTGACATTTGTTTTTTCCATAATATTTTTTTTTTAAAAAAAATTGATTATTTATTTAATTGTTTTACCATATTCTATAAAACAATTTACTTTAAAATTTGGTGATCAAAAGTTTACAAACATTTTTGTACATTTTTTTTAAAAAAATATAGTAAAACGAAAGAAAGCCATGTTCCACTCCACGACGTCGGCTCACATCGATCAAGGAAAATTTTGAGGTAAGAAGATAGTTAGTAATTTCATAACTCTTGATTTATCCTAGAATGGAAGCTTTGAACAACCAACCTCATGTGTCCGGGGATTCCGAGGCATCAAACATTGGAAACTTTTTTGGTGGAAACCCAGGAAATAATAATAACAATCTCAACGCTAACAATGAGAATATCGTTGGAAATAACGTAATCAATCAAGTGGCGGGATTTCTCCACCAACTTGCTACACAAGTCCGTCCAGAAGGTTGGAATTTAGATCGTCTCAAGAAGAATGGTGCTTGGATATACAAGGGAGGAGAATCGGGACCTCCAGAAGTCGCAGAGCACTGGATCGAACAGACAAAACGTGTTTTTGAAGATAACCTCATTCAAGAAGGAGAATGGGCTCGACTGGCCATATCTCTACTGCAAAATGAAGCATATGATTGGTGGAAAGTTGAAAAGACCAAAGAAGGACTGCCTGAACCCCTAGCTTGGGTAGCATTTGAGAAAGCTTTTTCTGACCATTTCATACCTCCTTACTATCGTGACGCAAAAAGAAAAGAATTTCAAAATCTGAAACGTAAAGGGATGTCTGTGGAAGCTTACAAAACAAAAATTGTTAAGCTATCTAATTATGCTAAGGATTTAATCACCGATGAGGAGAAACGATGTGAGTTCTTCATCGACGGGCTAGATGAAGAATTCCAAAGGAGTCTCAACGGGACTGTACATCGGAACTTCAATGAGCTCATCAAAGCAACCATGCGTATTGATTCGATCGGAAAGAAAACCTTTGATCAAGGGGAAGCATCATCAAAGAAGAACAACTCCAATATAAAGAATGTTGGTTGGGGAAAATATGGTCCCAAACAACAACAATACTTCAACAATAAAAAGAAGACGGAAACTCTGGTTGAGAGGCCTGAATGCCCTACATGTAATCGTCGTCACAATGGGGAATGTTGGTTTCTAACTGGAGCATGTATGCGCTGTGGTCAGAAAGGTCACATCTCAAAGAACTGTCCCAAACGTACTGACAAGGCGGAAGCACCAATTCAGAATAACAACAACAACCACCCACCTCCAAGACAAGCTCCACCAGTGCAAGGAAACAATGGCAACAACAACAATCGAGTTCCGGCAAGAACATATGCAATGCAAGGGAGGGAAGATCAACAGAACCGTAATGTTATTATCGGTATGTTCACTATATTCGATAATGACCTATGCGCTTTAGTTGATCCTGGATCTACACATTCTTATATTTGTGTGAATCAACCT